CATGACCGGTTAACACATAAATTGATAATCCCGTCAACAAAAGAGACAATTTTAGAGCTCCCTGTCCAGCAGAAGGATGGCAGATCCACACTCGCTTGACATGGGCATGACCTCAGGACACCTCCCCTTTTCCCCCTGCATTCCAAAAGGGGTCGCATCCTTTTACTACTTTCCAGAAAAGCGTGCGTTTCTTCTGTCACAGACAAAGACAATTCATAAGACAATAATTTAAAATCATTTAAAGTATCGGAGCAATATACTCCCAAATAATATGCTTTCTTGTAAACTATCAAATTTGGAATCAGTTCTAATCAGGTTGACTTCGAATCTTCAGATCCGAGTCCTCTCAAAACCTGAATGAAATAATAATAATTAATTCCCTTACAAATGAGTTAATTTCTTACAAGGTAGATCTTTGTGCAAGATGCTGTAAGTTGGCACTCTTTGATGTGTGAAGCATTTATTTTAGTATTACAATGCAAGAGTCTGCTGGGACTGAAACAGCCAAAGTGATGCAGCTTTTTCAGAGATTTTTCCTTTGGACCGTTTCATCTAAATAATCTTTCCTCAGATCATGCATATTTAAATTGGGATGAAAAAATCGCAAAGGCCTAAAATTATATTTTATTGAATATGAGATAATCCTAAAAGTGGAGTGCTATGTAAAAAGTTTTTAGATCATGAGTTCTTGCATGGCCTGTTTTCATTTAGCTGTTAAAAATTCACTAAACAGCAGTCAATAAAGGGATAGTTCTGCTGAATATGAAATTGCTTTCATCATGTATTCAACCTCATGTCATTCCAAACCTGTATGACTTTCTTTGTTTTGGTGAAACACAGAATGTGAATTCTGAAGAATGTGCTGGTTGCTCTTTTCTATATGCAGTAACAATAAATATTAGATTAGAATTGGGCGATGATATAGTTTACATTTTGCACAGTGCTTGAAGTGGAAAAAAAGAAGTGCTGGTACTGATTTTGCAACAAGATAAGCAATTGAGTGTTCACTATATGGTAAATATCGACCCAAGTATACTTAAATATCCAACTTTATAAAAGAGTTGGGTGATAATATAGCTTACGTTTTGCAACAATATAAACAATCAAGCAGTTGATATGCGCTATATTACATATATATTGCTTAATATGCGTATACTGTATGCATGTGGTTAAAGTCGGATATTCTGTATATAGAGCTGTGCAATAATATAGTTTTCATTATATTAACAATCAAGCAGATGAGAATTGCTATAATGTATATATAAATGTATATGAGTGTACTATCCAAGTAAGGTTGGATATACTTATAGTAGTTGTAAAATTTGTCTATGTGGGAGGAACAGACAGAAATGTAATTCTTTGAAAATCTGTTCATAATTTGGACTGATCCAGTCACAGACATAAACAGCTCACTGGAGGAGAGGATTTTCAGTCAATAATTATTTAAATGAAGGTGTGTTACACACAAAGCTATCGTATGACTTTGAATATAGTACACATATTGAATGAACTACTTTTACTGTGCTTTGATATGCTGTTACAAGATTCATGTGGGTAAATATGTCCATTTACATTTTGACTGAAAAACTGGAGAACAACCTGATGATTTCAAGCTCGGTTTTCTTGTGTTATCACATTTACATTTTTCATTATATAAATATACTCTGCACTCAATCTTAGTTTTAAAATGTTTGAAGGACATGACTGCAGTTTTATCTATCTACCTTTAGAATGTAAATGAAAACATCTCATTAATTTTCAGAATAACATTACTATGAAGATGCAGATCTTGTTAGGAATCATCCCTGCACTATTGAATGTTTTTGAGCTCCTCTGTGTGCTGGAGACTTGCGAGGGATTGTTTCCTTCACTACTAACCCCATCCAAGTGAATAACTATACAACCCTGGTCAAAAGACCTCATCTGCAATATTCTTCTCTGTGTCAGAGATTTTTGGGATTAAATTGAATTGAAAACCCACAGGCAGGAGGAAATATTGGATGTACCTGTATTCACCTCTGATTTGCCTCAGGAACTAATAAATGGCAAAATATGGTGACTGCAAAGAAGCAGAGACCTCAGATTTAACACTTTAATTGTAAACAAAAGTTGTTTCCTAAATCACTTTTCCTTTCTTTCTATTACCTAAAGTAGTTTTTCTTCGTTGGAAAAGATAAGTTTGTCCATTATAAACAATATAAAGACTTCCTCCTTACATTGTTAAAAGAGAAGATCAAAGAATTCTTTCTTTTATCATAGAAGGAGGTTGCCAGTAAATTTTAATTGACGAATCACAATTTTAGTCTTATTTTTTTGAAAACAGAAAGCAGTATTTTTGAAGTACGATGACTCAATTAGAGCTTTTAATGAACCTAAGACTTCCTGTGAGGATAATTTGGTCTAGATTGTGTGGGAGCTGTAGTTCATAAGGAGACTATAGGTGGAGGTCCTTCCCAACATCAAGCACTGCACCTTCCACACCTCCCTCTTCTTACAGACTCTCAACACATCAAAGCCAAACAACAGCAGCCCCACTGTCTTCATTAAGACATAAGGTTATCTCTGCTTATCTCTCCTTTGCTCTATTTTAAGTTCAAAAAGTGAACGCGTGGGGTGCTGACAAACTCATGTTAGATCTGCACGTTCAATGTCTTTTTGCACGTTCAATGTCTGATTGCCTGCACAAAGGTGACAATGTCTTTTTTACCGTTATTGATTGCAAGTTTTCTTAAGGAATGAACTATCCTTTTAAAAGTTAAATGTTTTGAAAAATGTAGAATGCACTCTAGGATATTTTGTAATATTGTGTTGTTGACACTATACAGTGAAACTTTCTGCATCAGGTAAAAAATTTGCCAAATGTCAAACATTTTATTTTTTTTATTTTGCTTGTTTATGCCTCAGTAATGGACCATGTGCATGATTTCCCAAGCCTAACTAAAGATTTGTCGGCTCATTCAACTCAATAAGCAAAAAATTCCTGACACAAGAGGAGCACTGTCTACTGGGGCGTGCATGTGTACAACTTCCTTTGAACTATAAAATCGGTTTGAAATATTGTGCAATGGGTCTTCAAATGAAAATGTGTCTTCTAAAGTCTAAAGGCGTACAATATGAGGGATCAAAAACCATGCACTACCATCTATATAAAATACCCTCAGATGCAAAGTCATATTAGCGTTGCCCAACAGGCACACTTGCATGGTGATGTGTCCCCGGTGGTTATTATTTAATCAGCAGTAAATGGTCTTAATTAGTAGATTAGTCTCTTTCCAATTAGCTCACTCTGTAATTGCCCTAATCTACCACTGCAGTCATTTGAATCCTAATTTAGAGCTGTGCATTTAGATTCACAGGGGACCTAACAAATGCGTCATTATGAACCATTACCAATTAAGTTATTCTCACATAAACCAACTGTTTATGAGCCATTCCGGCCCAATTTGGACAGCAGCTGCTGTGTTTATGTTTTTATTGTGCCATCATTTGACTTGTGAAGGTATTGTATAGTCATGCTGCACTTTTTGCTTTTTTATGCCGGCTAAATGAGACCTTTGAGGTCCATTTCATTTTTTATTGTCCATTACAATGTCCCTCCATACAGCTTGACTTCTAATTTTAGAGAAAAATATGAGTTGTCACTCATTAAGCTTATTCTGTCATTTGACACTACAGTATGTGGTGCCCTGCAAAAGCTGGTCTGGGGCTACATGCATAAAACTTGGCAATAATTTCATCTTAGCTTCAATAATTAATTTTAGCTCACTTCTACAAGTAGCTCTTTTATCGTGTCTTGTTTCACAGGACGCGTACCAGAGAACTCTGCACCACAAGTACAGTACAATGCTGTACCAGGTGAGTTACCGAGCAAGTTTACCTATTTCAGAAAAGCCACATATGGAGCTAGTTATGTTATGCAAATGTCAAGATGCATGATTTGTTAACTAATGTAAAATCATGCAAATCATGTAAAAGTATTTTGAGATCATAACATAATATTTTGCAAGACACTGCATGAAAATAATTCTTAAATGATAATTTGCCCTTGTAATCACAATCACACTGCAGTGAACTGTTGTGCAAAAACTTAGGTAGAGGCACGTTCTTCCAGTGAGCCTATACTGAGTAATTAATCCACCTCAATCGCATATTTGTTTTTAATGGGCATTTGCATTTTATTTATATACTGATGTTTTCATTTAGCATTTTTATTTTTAGAAGTACTTAAGCAAAAGTATTTAAACCCAATGATAGGCATGTTCTGTTAAATTAAGACTCAAAGAGGAATTAACTTACCTGCCCTGCACTTTAATGTCAGAGATGGCATAGAAGTATCTAGAAAGGTTGTTCTCATCCACCATTGTGGCTCCGGTAGCAGGACGTAGAAGTCTAATGCGAAGGTCAGTGAGGGTGAAGAAATCCCTTAGGTCCTTGGTGGTATCCAGCTGCCCATACAGAGAAGCCATGTTGTGCAGTCTCGGACCAGCAAGAAGGGCGAAGCGGTCTTTGATCTCGAAGCGTACAGTCTTATCGTACTTCCACACATAGCCTGTTGAATAGGCCTCAGTGCAGATGATTTCTAGCATCGTGCTTGGGGTCAGCTGATGTACTGCTTTTGGCTCCATAGTAAAGACATCCAAACAGTCAGATGCGTAAAACTGGTATGGCTGCCACGTACGACCATAATCCAGCGACTTCTCCAAGACTAACTGCTCGGGTCGGCCAGACTCGAAGGTGAGGACAATGTCATCTGTGAGTTCTATTGTTTTGTTCCAGGACAGCGTGATGTTGACCTGAAGGGGTCTCGGGTATTTCTTCCAGGAAGTCGACTGCCAGAACGTGGTTGGGTTTCGTCCTTCAGAGTCAAACATGAGCTCGGGTGGGTGGGCCAGCTCTTCGGTATCAGCATCACATTCGTTATTACACATATATGGGTTTTCCTGAAACACACATAGAGACCGGATGTGTTAATTATGTAGTACGCTTATAGTAACAGGTTTCCCATTAGACAGTGGCACTCGTTTGAGGTGAACTTAGGGAACCCACACTGAGATGTTTGATTCTCCACATGAATCAAGATGTTAATGAACATATTCTTGTGAAAACACTTCAGCCTCCATTAACGCAGTTAAGTTGGATGTTTTCCTGAGGTGACTGCTGAATATGGCACTCTGAATGGCCATCGCCTGCATTCAGAGCGGTGTGCCTCATGAGAGCTGCTCAACGGTTACCCGCTCGCTCACTACCACCCAAATTGCTAATATAACTGATATTCTTGCTTGTTGGCCAGTTGGAATGGGAGTGGAATTCCGATGAGTGAAGTTGGAGCTACACACGGAGCTCCATGCATTTTTCATGCGTCTGTGTCTGCCCTGCACCGCTGCGCCACTGTGTTTCAGATCAGCTTTTTCATTAAAATTCTGCACACCTCTGAGCCATAGCACAAATGACAATTAGCCATGAACTTTGAGGAGACGGCCATTAATTTCCGCCTTGTATACATGTTTGATCGGCTGCAATTGTCATAAATCTTGTTTTGTGTCAGGCACAAACAGCGGCGGAATGCAATTACAAAAGATGCATAACATCTAAAGGCTCTTGGGACAAAACATTCAGCTTTGTTTGTGGAATAATTTTATCCCCATCGCTGCTGTCAGTGGAAGAACTGACAGATTGTGATGCTTCCTCTCATCAAATGAATGATCTGCTCTGCGTTGTTGGATCAGAATGTATTTCCCTTGTTTGTTTAGTCCAGGATTGTTCACAGGGAGATGGGATCTTAGATGATGACCATTTCACTTGGGCACAAGTGAGGAGAATAAACACACATACTTTAAAGGAAAATTAATTTACTGGTATTCATATCACTCCAAACCCATAGACTAGTTTCCATGAAGCACAAAATATACATTTCTGAAGAACCTTTACATATATTCTTGCTATACAAAAACAGTTCATAGTAACTGTTGCGTCATATTCCTCCTCCTACTTCTAGGAGAATTGTCGACCATTCAGAATGGCTTTTTAAATTTGATTCCTGAATCTGAAATGTTGTTGTCTGAAGCAAACAGAATGCAGAATTACTGTTCGAATTTGAATGATGATTTTGACAAAGCTTGGTCTGAAAGTCATTTAACTAAACTTTTGAAGGTTTTATAGGCCTTACAGCGAGATGGATAAAAACAGACAGTTTGGATCTGTTTGAAATGTCACCTTCTGACTTATTTGTAACGTAACATCAGACACGACCACTTTTAACTTGAATGTGCAAGGTTTCCGATGTCAGCCACTTCCAGTTATTTTAGCTGTCTGTTATGCTGCTTGATGTTGCAAACTGGTTTTTGCTATCATATTATTTGATTTGTTATTGTAATCATAAACTCACTGGGTTGTAGTCCAAATAGTATTGTTAATACAGTTTATAGTAATAACACCATTAATAGTAATAACACCATTAATAGTAATAACGTTTACTGCACTTTGTTATTCTATTAGTTATTTACCTATAGCGACTAACTGATTGGAAGTTTCGCACATTCAAGAAATAACTTACATCTATGTTGAAAAATAAGGTTGATAGAACTGCACAGTTTGTTAATATATAATTCTTTATATTAAACCAATGTATGGACCAAGATGGAAGACTTAATCTCCCAGAATGCCAGTACCTCTTGAATTTCTCATAATTGTTATTGAGTAAATTCTCTTTTTTGAATCCAATTAAAACTCTAATTTGTCTTCCTGTTGGATGTGGTAAATTGAATTAATATTCACTCATGAAATTCAAATCGAGCCAGTTCTTCAATTCAAGATTTAACACAGCCATGAGCAATATTCACGGATTCTCTCTCTCTCTCTTTTTTCTCCTAGCTTGGTTGTTCCTGCTCGCTGTAAACTGTCATTTAGCAAGTGTGTCCCATAGAAAATATGTATGGATTTGGAACTACATGAATAAGATAAGGGTACTTTTTAGCTTAACTATTTTAAGTCTAAACGTTACTAAATGACCCCCTCTGTGTGCATGCAAAGTAGAGGAGTGAATTACCAGTATTATCATTGATTTCTTCCTCCACCACATTACAACACTTACATACCCTGATAAAGACAAAACTGAGTGGCTTAATATGACAAAGAGGGCCAGACCTTCCACTGGATTCTCCTGCAATGGCTCTCTGACCAAAAACAGCTGCCTTATCACGATCAATACAATCTCTCCTCTTAACACTTGGGGATAGAGTGACCAGTGTTGAAGGTGGCTATTGAAAAATCAATGTAGATTATATCTCATTCCACGTATCGTCTCTGTTAGAAGAGGAAAGACAGTGTAGTGGTGCTCATTAGAATAGCTGACATCTCTATCAGCAGCACTGGACCACAGCAGTAAGTTCCAAAGCTGCTCTCTATTAATCCCTGTTGATGAGACTACCACCATAGAAGTGTGTATCACAGACACTTCAACATAAAGGTCATGTTAGACTGGTCGCTAATGAGGTCCTGCCTCATAAAGCTAAAGGGGCAATCCAATATTGTGTCTCTGTGAGCGGGCCAGTGGTTTGAACGAGGATGTTAGGGCATTCATCATACGAGCATGTGTTAATTGAGTATTTGTGAGCTTCAATGAAAGCATTCAATATTATTACCCCAACTGACACAAAGCAGAAAAACAGGTTGCAGATTTTAAACTTAAATTGACTGATGGTACAGAATTGATAGATTAATATATATATGGTAGCCTACATAATATCACAAACACATTTTTAATAATTTGGCCACTGACACAAGCCTTCAATTAAGTATATGAATTATTGTACCATTGAGTTCTTTTTCGATAACACTGCAAATGATATCAACATCTTTTGTAATTCTCACAATAAACCATTATTGAATCTAAATTCTTTTGTATGATGTTAACAACTTATTTAAGATTTTCATCAAAATGTACTTTGATCATTATTTTGATTCTTACATCAAAAGATTTTGTTAAGACATCATAGCAACAATAACTGAAATTAAAAGATAATCAAATAAATAATTAACCAATTAAAATATACTCAACCATTCAAAATGTTTCTTGAACACTAAATCGGCATATTAGAATGATTTCTGAAGCATCATACAACAGTGAAGACTGGAGTAATGACTGCTAAAAAAAATTCAGCTTTGCCAGAGGAATAAATTATGCTACCAAACTAATGCAATTCTTGTGTTTTTGTCTAATAATGGTACATCATTTAGAGTGCAGTGACCGAAAAGAACAAGAACAACAGCAGATGTGATAGACATGAAGGCTGTGAGACTGACAGGCGGAGCCTCTGTTGATGCGGTCTGGGACAGAGTATGTGGATGAGGAACATAAATTCATTGCCCAGTGACAGCAGGGCCTGATGAATAGGTCCAAGCTGGCCCACAAATCAGCTGATGCGACAAATGTTTGAAAATCGCACTCCAGATCACACACACTAAAGCCTCCAAATTTCCCATTCATTCCATGCACCAAATTACTGCCTGCAACCATGACCGAGTTTTTAAGGAACTGTTTCCTTAAATAAAATGCATTGAAACCCATGCATGCAATTGCACGTCAAGCAAAGAAAAGGCCTTTCAATGAAATATCGGAGTACTGTAACACAGAGGAGGTTGTGTGATTCACAGTTTAGGCTCTGATCAAGGGAATGCCTGAGGAAGTCTGGCTTCAACGTCATGTCTGATTACTCATCTTTATTAATCTCTCTTGTTTCCTTCCTAGACAAAGACATGATATGCTCCTTGTGGAATTTACGAAGCAAGAGTATCAATATTTTACTACACACAATTCAGTTTCTTTAAGCATGGAAACATTGTAGTTATGAGTCTGGTAATAGCCAGAAAAGGTTGAATTGAAGTTGTTCAGCTCCAGTGTTGCTGTTATTAAATAAAACTAAAATCATTAAAAATGGTTTCTGTTAATTGAAATAAATCTGAAATAAAATGCAATATATTAGACGGAAAATTTAACTTTAAAACTTAAATTACTTAGAAATTGGAAAAAATAAAAAAATAAATAAAATAAATTCTGCTCTTTTGAACTTTATATTCATCAAAGAATCCTGGAAAAAATAAAAATGTATCATGGTTTCCAAAACTGTTTAAAACTGATAATAATCAGAAAAGTTTATTGAATACAGTTATTAGATAACTGTAGAATACTTGCTGTATTTTTTATCAAATAAATGCAGCCTTGAAGCATATAGGAAATTTGAAACTTTCTATCATCCTCAGTTTTTGGGAAAGTGAAGCTATCAAACTAATGCCAATATAGTGGTTTTGTCTATTATGCTACATAATATAGAGTTGGAAAAAAAAATTGGAAATGTTGCCAGACTACATTAATTAACATGTTAACTGATGGACTGGAGTCATGTGGTTTACTTGAGGATTATTATATCGTTCAGCTGTTTGGACTCTCATTCTGACGGCACCCATTCACTGTAGAGGATCCACTGATGAGCAAATGATGTAATGCTTAATTTCTCCAAATTTGTTCCGATGAAGGAACAAACTCACCAACATCTTGGATGTCCTGAGGGTTTGTAAATTTTCAGTATTATTTGTTAACTCAAAATATAACACAATTTGAAATCTACTAAAGAAAAGTTGTACTATATATGTTGCTTGCAAAATATGTGTTTAGTTAGAATACACAGCTAATTTCAAATGGCAGTCAATGGGGAAAGATTTTAAAACCGGATGATGTAGTTCTAGTATCTACCAGCAGGGGATAATGGCAACATCCTTACCAGCCAAACCTTGACCCCTTGTTTTGACCCCACTGTGTGTCAAACATCATCCCACTCTCTGAAACCAATGATTTCTCCTTTATCTGCTCTTCAGAAAAGACCTTTCCCACAGCCATATGAAGGATTCGCTCGTCTGTTTCATGACGCAGAGCCTCGTTTCAATT